TCACGTGTTTGAGCCATTAAAGACAGCTCCCGCGATAAAAGTCTCATGGATAGCTGCTTCCCAATTATGAAACAGCAGCCGATAAGTAATCTCCCAAAGAAGAAAACTGGCAAGAAGCGTTCTCCAGAACAACATAAACAAAATCGCTCCCTCACAGTTACACCCTCACTGCGGTCTCTGTGCAGCCTAGCTACAATCTCTCTTTTATACATTTCTGCAGAGAGAGTTGGTATACATCTAGTGCAAAAGAAAGAATACAAAAAGAAAACAACAAAAACGCAGAGGAAAAACTCTGGGAAGGAAAAAGGAATTTTATCAACACGGTGTCTGAATTTGTGATTACGGTAGCGCACCTTTTGTGCGTCGTGGTTTTGCATCACGAAAATTGCGTCACTCGTGTTTTTTACGCGTTTCACCTCGCGAAATGGATTGAATTGAATGTATATACCTCCAATGAGTAAACTGTAATGAAGGAGAGCAGAATTATCCAGAGGCATTAGCAATGCCGCCGCCCCAACTAAGAACAAGTGAGTGGCCTCCGTCGGAGGACATCTAGCAAGTAAAGGCGGTCCGACTGAGGAGGAGTTAGAACTAGCACTTTGAGCGGCTATAGCAGCCTCCACGCTCACAATAGAGTCGCGAAAGGTGAACAGTCTTCTAGCTTGGAGGCTAGACTACTTGCACAGCAAAGGCGACCACGAGCCACTTTGATCGCGGGGGCTGTCTTTTAATACGTTAATATGAGAATCTGTTGAATCTGAAATGAATAAGTGAGATAGTTGGAAATGTCCTTTCTTGACCTGCTGCAAGTTTTTTTTCGCCCCTTGATGCTCTTTGATGCTCACAATGATCATAACATTGTTTGCAGCTCTCCACCTCCGGCCGCATTTATTCTGCAGCTTTTGTTGAAGGCTCCTGCTTGCCTACTGAGGCCGCATCAACATTATTCGCGACAGGGCGCGCTTAGGAAAAAGCTAGGGTGAAACTGTTGATGTATCCCTCTTTGAGCAGAAGCCCATCCGGCACGTTGTATGTAGGAGATTCGAAGCGAGGGAGTGGTACGTATTTGCTCATGAGGAATGCTTCCGGTTGTTTATTTGTTTGGATTCCTTGTTATCGCGGTGCTGTGAGCCCCTGGACCCTCTCTACGGTGGTTTTTTTCCGAAAAGTTAGTGGGAAGCTAGGAGAGTAGATCTGGAGAAATGCAGTTGAGGTCGTAATTTACCCAACGGCAGGACGTGCCCTGAGCATACCGTCGGAGCCTCCATTGTCTTGAGTCGAGCCATTTTTCATCGCAGACGTGCTCATGATATCCAGGTAGCCTGAAGCAATTTCCGTACACGTCTTTAGCTTCCTGAAGGGTGTCGCTCTGACTATCTAAAGCGTCAGTCGTCAGCTAATTGTACTACCTTTTTTTACTGGACTTGGTTTTGTTTTTTCATTGCACCACTTCTTGGTTGTCACACATGCTGATATCGTGTATCTTCGGTGCACGGATTTTGAGCTTATTATAATTTGGATGAGTGCACGACTTTAGTCGTACCAGCCACAAGGTAATGGTTTCATTTTCTGGAACTTTGAATGGAGAATCAAGAGCAGCATGCGACAGCTGATTGTGAATACAGGATGAAAGAGGTACAGGCTCCGAGCGGTCAAAGTTCCCTGTGAATCACTGCTCACATGCCGCAGCTAACGCTTTCCAAGCGAATGCTCTATCAGCTTTCGAAGTGCGCAGTGTGATGTTGAACAGCACCTACCGTAAACAAAAGAATGTCAGTTAGAAATGAAATAGTCTCCGCGTTTAAAGGCAGTTGGCACGATAAATCGCCATACAGATGTGGGATTTATACGACTGGCTTAATAGGATTCCGCGACCTCAGACAGGCGCTCCGTGGCGCTTTTCCCAAGGAGGGTACCCTTATAGGCGCTCTGCGTCGTGGGCAGACATTCCGTCCCAAACGCCTTCCTCGCCCCCCGCCCACAAACGGACGACCGTTCCTGACGCTCGTATTCATTCATTTGCTGAGCAAATTATGAAGCAAAGGGATTGGTATGAAGCGGCGTGATGCTGCATGCATATATGGGTACACATATGCAGCCGTACCTTCGGTAGCGTGGTTGATCGGGGCACGATGTCGTAGCGGGAAAACTTGTCCGAAATGCTTTTCAAGTCACTACAGAACGCTGTTGACGGCTTTCGTTTTGCTTGCCGGATGTTGACCGATTTCACTGCGGTTTTTTTCGCCATTTCCCCACTACACAGCGCCCTACTAGCATTTTAGGCCGAGTGGGAAACCATCGTGCCAACTGCCTTTAAGCGATTCGTAGGCGACCTACCCTCCTTGTAGAAGTAGTCTGACCCTCATTCTCTAAGATTATCCCGCTTTCGCGGCTTCACAGTAAGTAATGAAGACGATGTGGCCCTCATAAGTGGCAGTCCTGACGCCTCCCTAGTTGCCTCGCCCACCACAGCTCGAAGGTTCTTTATTACAAGATTAGTGATCAGTTTTCTCTTCATTGCATGCATAATTTTAATTATTACCAAAGTTCAAAAATCATTATACGAGATCACAGCATGAACAATGATTATTGTGACCCATAGAAAGCTCCGTCTCCTGTGATCAGAAGGTCCATCCACAAAAGAGAGGAACAACTTTTTCTCATCCGTTTTCTTCACCTATGTCCATGGGTTCGTTCTCATCTCGTTGATCAAGATATCCTATAATAGTAATAATTGCATCAAAAGAGGAGGTTGTACAACCACTAATAAAGTGTTCTCAAGTGAGAGCAGTGCGTTGTCGTATACCGTATACCGTTAACTTGTACAAAAAACTTATGATGTAGGGAATGACGGTAGGAATTGATGGAGCACTTGTTCATACTTCGCGATCGCGCGATCAGATCGCTCGGCTGCATCCCCCGATCGCGAAGTATGAACGCGCTATAACTGAGAACGCGTTCAAATAGCGACAAGTCAGACTCACGCCAAGCACTGTTTGTCTCATTGTCAAAGAACATAGCAGCGCAAGTGCAATTGAACGAAGCAGTTACTTGGATGCAGGCTGGTCGAAACCGTCGCCCTGCCAAAGATCCGAGCTCACGTTCGACCCAGTGGACTTGGGAGGAGTCACGCTGCCGCGGGTTTCTGCAAGGTCTTGTTGTGGAACCATTAAGCCAGTAGATGTGCTTCTGGAGGCGCCTTTAGATAGATAATCCACTTCCTATACGTGGAAAGTTGGAGTGAATAGGTCACAAAGGTCGTAGAGCGCTCGGCAGAAGAGAGAGTGCAGAGAAAAACGACGCTATTAAAGGAACTGAGTTCAAGTAATCCGTAAACCGCGTTTACTCCTCTGCTCTCTCACGAAGATAGTGATCTTTGACCTTCTCATGCCCGGAACAACACAGAGTATCACAGCCCTCGCGTCTCAGGTCTCACCAGGAAAGGCCGCCAACTTACCATGGAACTTTGAATGGAGACCTGGGTAGATCGATAGAGTCTATAAGGTTATTTACAAATATAGATAGCAAAACTGCAACCTGCATTTCACAAGCAACTTATGAGCAGGTAAAGTTTGTAATGGTGCAGTAGGGTGGAGGCTTGGTGGTGAGCTGTGAAGCATAAGCGAGGAATCGCATACGTCGAATCGAGTCGTCGAACGTCGAACCTTACCACTGAACCACCACGACTCGATTCGACGTATGCGATTCCTCGCTTATGCTTCACAGCTCACCACCAAGCCTCCACCCTACTGCACCATTACAAACTTTACCTGCTCATAAGTTGCTTGTGAAATGCAGGTTGCAGTTTTGCTATCTATATTTGTAAATAACCTTATAGACTCTATCGATCTACCCAGGTCTCCATTCAAAGTTCCATGGTAAGTTGGCGGACTTCCCTGGTCAGAAGAGCGCTCCCTATTCTCCCCTCCACGACACAATAGAAGAAGAAAAAAACAGAATAGATGAAATGTGGGTGGTCTTGAACTCCTAGCCAAAACTCAGTCGTCAATTTTGTATGAATGCAGATGAGAAGCCGCCCGAGCTCTACCATGAGGGGTTACGCGGGGCAAGTGGATAATCATCATAGCGAAGGATTTCTACACTGTG